TCGGAGTTGGAATGTATGCTTTGATGAGATGATCAAAGATTTGGGCGTATACAAAGTTTATGAGAAACTTGTATTTCCAAAGAAGTGAGTGGGAGCACTATAGAATTTCTGATGAGTATATGTTGTTGACATATTATGGATCAGAAATGACGTAGAATTTCTGGAAAGCATATAGGGTTATTTGGAAATTGTTTTTCAATGGAAAGCCTGGATTAAGCTGCTTGAGCATTGAGCATCAAGATCTATAAGGATAGATCAAAACGCTTAATGGAACTTTCAAATGAGCACATACCTTGACATGATCTTGAAGGTGTTCAAGATGGATCAGTTAAAGAAGGAGTTCTTGCCTGAGTTGTAAGGTATGAAGTTAAGACTTAAAGCTCGACCATGGCAGAATAGAGAGAAAGGACGAAGGTCGTCCCCTATGCTTAAGACGTAGGCTCTACAGTATGCTATGCTGTGTACCACACCTGAAGTGTGCCTTGCCATGAGTCAGTCAAGGGGTACAAGAGTGATCCAAGAATGGATCACAGGACAACGGTCAAAGTTATCCTTAGTAACTAGTGGACTAAGGAATTTTCTCGATTATGGAGGTGGTAAAAGAGTTCGTCGTAAAGGGTTACGCCGATGCAAACTTTGACACTAATCCAGATTATTCTGAGTAGTAAACTGGATTCGTATAGTAGAACAGTTATTTGGAATAGCTCCAAATAGAACGTGGTAGCTGCATCTAGGAGATGACATAGAGATTTGTAAAGCACACACGGATCTGAAAGGTTCAGACCCGTTGACTATAACCTCTCTCACAAGCATAACATGATCAAACCCAGAACTCATCGAGTGTTAATCACATGGTAAATGTGAACTAGATTATTGACTCTAGTAAACTCTTTGGGTGTTAGTCACATGGGGATGTGACCTTGAGTGTTAATCACATATCGATGTGAACTAGATTATTGACTCTAGTGCAAGTGGGAGACTATTGGAAATATGCCCTAGAGGCAATAATAAATAAGTTATTATTATATTTCCTTGTTCATGATAATCGTTTATTATCCATGCTATAATTGTATTGATAGGAAACTCAGATACATGTGTGGATACATAGACAACACCATGTCCCTAGTAAGCCTCTAGTTGACTAGCTCGTTGATCAATAGATGGTTACGGTTTCCTGACCATGGACATTGGATGTCGTTGATAACGGGATCACATCATTAGGAGAATGATGTGATGGACAAGACCCAATCCTAAGCATAGCACTAGATCGTGTAGTTCGTATGCTAAAGCTTTTCTAATGTCAAGTATCATTTTCTTAGACCATGAGATTGTGCAACTCCCGGATACCGTAGGAGTGCTTTGGGTGTGCCAAACGTCACAACGTAACTGGGTGGCTATAAAGGTACACTACGGGTATCTTCGAAAGTGTCTGTTGGGTTGGCACGAATCGAGACTGGGATTTGTCACTCCGTGTGACGGAGAGGTGTCTCTGGGCCCACTCGGTAGGACATCATCATAATGTGCACAATGTGATCAAGGAGTTGATCACGGGATGATGTGTTACGGAACGAGTAAAGAGACTTGCCGGTAACGAGATTGAACAAGGTATCGGGATACCGACGATCGAATCTCGGGCAAGTATCGTACCGATAGACAAAGGGAATTGTATACGGGATTGATTAAGTCTTTGACATCGTGGTTCATCCGATGAGATCATCGTGGAACATGTGGGAGCCAACATGGGTATCCAGATTCCGCTGTTGGTTATTGACCGGAGAACATCTCGGTCATGTCTGCATGTCTCCCGAACCCGTAGGGTCTACACACTTAAGGTTCGATGACGCTAGGGTTATAAAGGAAGTTTGTATGTGGTTAACGAATGTTGTTCGGAGTCCCGGATGAGATCCCGGACGTCACGAGGAGTTCCGGAATGGTCCGGAGGTAAAGATTTATATATAGGAAGTCCTATTTCGGCCATTGGGACAAGTTTCGGGGTCATCGGTATTGTACCGGGACCACCGGAAGGGTCCCGGGGGTCCACCGGGTGGGGCCACCTATCCCGGAGGGCCCCATGGGCTGAAGTGGGAAGGGATCCAGCCCAAAGTGGGCTGGGGCGCCACTTCCCCCTAGGGCCCATGCGACTAGGGTGGGGAAACCCTAAAAGGAAGAGTCCTAGGAGGGGAAGGCACCTCCTAGGTGCCTTGGGGAGGAGGGATTCCTCCCCTTGGCCGCCTCCTCTTTCCCATCTAGGGCTGCCGCCCCTCCTAGGGGTGGGAACCCTAGAGGGGGCGCACCCTCCTCCCTCTCCCCTATATATAGTGAGGCCTAGGGCTGCCCATAACACATGATTTGATCTCTCCCTGCTGGTGCAGCCCTCCCTCCCTTTCTCCTCCTCTCCCGTGGTGCTTGGCGAAGCCCTGCAGGATTGCCACGCTCCTCCATCACCACCACGCCGTTGTGCTGCTGCTGGATGGAGTCTTCCTCAACCTCTCCCTCTCTCCTTGCTGGATCAAGGCGTGGGAGACATTGTCGGGCTGTACGTGTGTTGAACGCGGAGGTGCCGTCCTTTCGCTACTAGGATCTCCGGTGATTTGGATCACGACGAGTACGACTCCATCAACCCCGTTCTCTTGAACGCTTCCGCTTAGCGATCTACAAGGGTATGTAGATGCACTCTCCTCCCCCTCGTTGCTAGTCCCTCCATAGATAGATCTTGGTGACACGTAGGAAAATTTTGAATTTCTGCTACGTTCCCCAACACCGACATGAGGCAGGAGCAGCAAGAGCAGGTGTACGACTAGGCTGCTCGATGGGCCGAATTCGACCGTGCCTTGGTGGCTGTTGGGAAGATGGATGCTGAGAGGGACCACTGGCTTTGGGACCGCACACCCACTCCCAACACCGGGAATGACATGGACGAAATGGGATGAGGCCGCCCTGCCCTGTTTCCGCTCAATCGTGGCCCACAATGTCGTCGCCCTTGCAATTCTTGTGTGGGACGAGGTCACTTTGGCTCATTTTTCGTGAGATTGAGGCGGCCAATGCCACATCGTCCAACATGATAAGTACCACCGCAGTTATCGTTTCAACAACTAATTTAGAAGGGAGTTTTCCTATGAGAAGACCAGAAGGGAGTTTTCCCGGCCCAATGCTGCATCATCCATCATCGACAAGTCCCACCATCGTTATCGTTTCAACAACTAGTTTAGTTATAGGTTTAGTTCAAGTTTTAATGTTCTATATATACTAAGTCGTAGTGTGACCAATTTTCCGCCCCTAACTATGAAATAAACTGCTTGGGTCGGGAAATCGTCCATAAATGAAATCGTCTGTGCTAAATTCATGCATGCTTTGTGTGGGTGGGGAGTTGGGCCGGGAAGAAAATGTTATAGCCAATGACATATGAGTCTCACACGCAGATTTCTTTTTACCGATTTTAAGTTTACTCGTTGCTTCGGCAACCTTGAAAATATTATGAAAAATCCCATGTCTTCCTGAAGAAGCTACATCAAAAAAATATCATGTCCTTTTTGAAGTAAACGAACAAGAAGTACTCATGTTTTCCAATGGATATTACGGACCCAAGGGAGTTTTCGTACGAGAGGACCACATGAGTATATCATGTTCTTTTCAAGAAGTGATGTAAAATAAATGCTCTTTTCAAGAAGTGACATCCGAAAACAAAAACAAAGAAAATACAATAACATGAGGGCCCAACCGTCATTATCGTTTCAACAACTAGTTTAGTTATAGGTATAGTTCAAGTTTTAATGTTCTATATATACTAAGTCGTAGTGTGATCAATTTTCCGTCCCTAACTATGAAATAAACTGCTTGGGCCGGGAAATCGTCCATGAATGAAATCGTCTGTGCTAAATTCATGCATGCTTTGTGTGGTGGGGAGTTGGGCCGGGAAGAAAATGTTATAGCCAATGACATATGAGTCTTACACGCAGATTTCTTTTTACCGATTTTAAGTTTACTCGTTGCTTCGGCAACCTTGAAAACATTATGAAAAATCCCATGTCTTCCTGAAGAAGCTACATCAAAAAAATATCATGTCCTTTTTGAAGTAAACGAACAAGAAGTACTCATGTTTTCCAATGGATATTACGGACCTAAGGGAGTTTTCGTACGAGAGGACCACATGAGTATATCATGTTCTTTTCAAGAAGTGACATATGAAAAAAAAAAGAGTATATCATGTTCTTTTTCAAGAAGTGATGTAAAAAAATGTTCTTTTCAAGAAGTGACATCCGAAAAGAAAAACAAAGAAATACAACAACATGAGGGCCCAACCAGGTTCGAACCGGTGACCTATTGATCTGCAGTCAATTGCTCTACCACTGAGCTACGGACCCATTTGATGTGGATTTAATACCTAATATTACTAATTAGTAGATAAATAACGGATAACATTTTGTGCATGCTTTGTGTGGGTGGGGAGTTGGGCCAGGAAGAAAATGTTATAGCCAATGACATATGAGTCTCACACGCAGATTTCTTTTTACCGATTTTAAGTTTACTCGTTGCTTTGGCAACCTTGAAAATATTATGAAAAATCCCATGTCTTCCTGAAGAAGCTACATCAAAGCATTACTTAACTACGGATAACATTTTTACGCCATACCTAAGCTTTACTTAACTACGGCCAACGTGCAATGTATGTTCGAGATGACGTGTGCTCCAACGCATGAAGAACACGACATGAAATGTCCGTACACGAGAGAAGACCAAATGCCGGCCGATATACGTGTGGCACTCAAACCGTCAATACGTACTGATCCTCTCATTTTTCAAAGTAAAACAAACGTAGAGTCTCGTATCAATCATCGTATATGAACCAGAAGAACACGATGCTTGCATGAAACAAAACAACATCTTCTTCCTTGCACGCCCACTGCTGCCACTTATATTACACCACCCACACCCAAGCCGACCGGGTTGATTCTCTCTCAAAACCTGCACCATATCAACCAAGCGACGGCCTATCTAGCTAGCTACTTGGCGGCGGCGGCGCCATTGGAGGAGGAAGGCGGAGGCAGCAGGAAGTCGAGGAGGATCTGGTTGAAGAGCTTGGAGTCCTCCTGCTGCGGCAGGTGGCCCGTGTCGGGGATGATCCTCACCGTCGCCTTCTCCCCGAGCTTCTCCTTCACCTTGTGCGCCTTGGCCACCGGGAAGATCTGGTCGAACTCGCCCCACACGATCAGCACCTCCTGGGGGAGAGGAGTGATCTGGAAGCCGTGCCCGGAGGCGATCCCCTTGATCAGCTCGATCTTCCCCTCTCTCTGGACCGCGAAACACTTCTGCACAGTAAAAGCGTATGTACTTTGGTTAATTTTAATCAATTAGTTGCAATCTACTTCCTCCGTCCCAAAATATAAGAACGTTTTTGACGCTACACTAGTATAAAAAACGCTCTTATACTACTCAAACTTGATTTTAAAAATTGTGGCTACATGCATGCTCGCGGTGTCACACACACACATTCTCCACCAACTGTCCGGTCGGTGGCAGACGTGATTCGCCACCAAATCGCTGGTGTGATCCATCATTTTCGTAGCTTTTTAATCATGGCGGCGAATGATGCACACTGCAACGACCTTTTCAATCGACGTCGCACCGCACCCATCGTATGCATGGCCTCAGTGTGACGTGGGAGGGAGTACGTACCCGGAGGAGGTCGCGGGCGAGGCACTCGGGGAGGTACTTGGGCGGGCCGTGCGCGCAGATGTCCATCAGCCGCCGCAGCGCCTTGGTGTCCGCCGGCACCATCAGCTCCGTCACGTCCGCCACGCCGCCCTTGGCCGCCAGCGCCCGGTCGTCCTCGGGCCCCTTGGCCAGGTCCGAGCTGCACACCGCCACCTTCCCCACCGTCCACGCTCCGGCTCCCCCGCCCTGCGGCAGCGCCCGCGCCAGGTGGTACGCCACCAGCCCGCCGTAGCTGGTGCCCACGAGGTGCACGACGCGCCCCTCCTCGCCGACGCCGCCGAGGCGGTCGCTGGCGAGGAGCTTGGCGATGGCGGCGGCCTGGAACGCGTCGGAGCGGCCCGGGGCCCGCGTGGTGGACGCGCCGAAGAAGAGCAGCGTGGGCACGACGAGGTCGAAGTGCTTGGACAGCGGGCCCACCTGCGCCGCCCACTGCCACGTCGGGTCCGGCCCGAAGCCGTGGATCAGCACCACCACCGGCCGCCGCCCCCGCTGCTGCTGCCGCTGCTTGGACTCGGCGTCGGGGGAGGAGAGGAGGGAGGGGTGGGCCCAGAAGTGGAGCGTGGTGTCGGCGTCGACGGCGACGGAGCTGGGCCGGAGGCCGGCCGAGGTGAAGGCCCGGCGGAACACCGCGTTGAGGAGGGACACCACGCCGAACCCCATTGCTGTCTATGCGTCTGTCTCTCTCTCTCTCGCTCTGCTCAGCTCTGTCAAGCTCTGCTTCTTCTTCTGCGATGTCTGTCTGCCTCGACGTGCGTCTTATAGTCTGTCTGTCTGCTTGTTTCCGTCCAATGGCATTAGGTTTTGTTGCTTAACTACTGGTGTACTTTGTGATGTTATTCCAGGTAGAGGTAGGTGAGCGTGCATGGTTGGTTCAAGTGTGTCGACTGGATCGTTTCTGCTGCTTCTAGAGAGAGTTGGGAGAGAAAAAGCTGCCTAGAATGCGACTCAGATGGGGATGCAGAGTATGGAGGAATAACCATGGAATGCTCTGCCTTTTTAGTACGAATTGGATGTAATCATGAGTCAATCTTCTACAAAAATGCCTGGTTTTTTCCTCACCTGCCACTCCATCATGGACTGCGTTTCGATGCCTTAAGGCACATGCCTCTATGACATGTGGGGCCAACAGATGGTTGTCCCACATGTCAGTGACCCAAAGGCAGGTGTCTTTACGGCATCGAAGTTGCGTTCCTCGATCATGCGCCGGTTTGATCTTTCTTTAGGCTTAAGGCCCCATCGGGAAGAAAAGAAAAATGCAGGAATTTTGGAGGATATGATTTCTATAGGAACTACTCGTATTCCATTGCCGTTTGGAACAAAGGAATACTATCCTACACTCACTTGAAACCTATGTAATGGGTTATTCCATTGGAATTTTGAAGGGAACCAAACTTGATGTCTTATCTCATGCTTTCTTCTTTTGCTCTCTACAATTTATGTGCTTTTCATGTGTGGCACCTAAATGTTAGTTTTTCGGTTTTGTGTGGTTTTAGTTCCTATAGTCTTCCAGGATAAACGACATCTCTGTTCACGTGTTTTTCCTATTTCTACGTTTTGAGGGGCCAAACAGAGCTCTAGTCCTCGGGAGGCCCGCGTTCCCACATACCCTCAATGTCGAAACCCGGACTCTATACGCGAGAGGGCACATGATGGATATATACTTCAAATCTTTGAGATCATCGCCACACCTTAGGCAACAAGACTTGTTGAAGATTTTCTTGTATGCAAGGCTGGCCTGGGAGTTTAACCTTGCTACTCCATCTCCATATAGTGCTAGCATTCATATGATCTCCGTCTCCTTGCATCAAAAGGCTAGCTATAAGCTTGTTTGGAGTAGAAGATCTCTCCCCTGCCGGGGAAGTGTTAATCCAACCCGTTAGAGGGTTGAAAATCCTGCAACATAGACATTAACACACCAAATTCTAGTTGTCTGCGATTAAAATAAAAATCTAGTTGTTTCATAGATTAGATTCTAAGCCAAGTTGCAAGATATGAGCCACTCTGAATGTTAGTTTGTGGAGTGTGTAATAAGGTTTGGGAAGGCTTCTGCTAGGGCGGAATGTTGTAGCCAAGTGTCTAACCAAAAGTAGATAGTTGAACCATTGGAAGCAAGTACAAAGGTATTTTTTGTGAAGTTTACGTAATTTTTATCCAAAACAAACAGAGATAATATAAAAAAACAGTAACAAACGTCTTCTCAAAATTAAAAAATGGACATGATAGAATAATTAAATGTGCAACAATCACTATAGCGTTTATCCTTTCAACTTGACCATAGCAGATCCATAATTTGTATGCTTTTACTTGTATCAGCATCTCGAGGATTCCAAGACAAAGTTAGCCTCACTCCTGATGTAATAATCCGCTTCAAGAATATTGTTCTCTTCACTTATTATCTAATTTGATCTCCTAGGCTGTTTTCTACCATATGCCATTCATTTGATGATTTATTCTTCAACACACAATTTGACACTATATAGAACCTCGATGATGTAGTCTATTAGCAGTCCGCTGAGATAGTTTTAAAGCGTGTTTGAAATAACATGGATTTATTTTAAACTGTAGGACACGAACCAAGAACTAAGAGTCGGAACAGTGATGAAAAAGCCCTTGGTGCTCCAAGATTGAAGCACACATTGCTTGCTTGTGAGGTAAGATTATTACAGTTTATCCATCACATTGGTTTTTTCTTACATCGCTTGCCAATAGAATTGAAGTTTGATACAAATCATGGTGCACTAAAAATTTGGGCACTAAAGTAAGCTTTTTAGATCGGCTCCTACAAAAATTGATGTTGATTCTTCAACCCATATTTCTTAATTATTTGTTGGGTAACTTATGAAAGAAAAACTTTGTGATGCTTTATCCGACTCTGCCAACCATGATCGACTAGTTAAGTTAGGATGGGGGAGGAGCCCCACTCCACCATCTTATGTTAGGGTAGGGGGCCTATGCCCCCCTCCCCTCTCATTGAATAATCACATTTATATGGTGTATTAAGACCTTATTTGCTAATGAAAGTTACATTTTTATGTTTATATCCTTGTAATGGCCTTTATGGTATGCAATGTATAGGTGTGAAATTACTTGCTTTACTCTATTATAGCCATTATACCTATTATACCAATAAATCAGCTCCATATAATTCATTTGCGAGTTAGAAACATCAATTATTATGTCAATATTTGGTGTCTATTAAGTATATTTGCAATTGGGTCAACTATTTTGATATCTACATCAACATCTCAAGATGGACAGCTGCCGGCCGGTTCTAGCCATCTACAATGGGGACGATACGACTGACGAGAACGCTTGACAGGACAAATCCAAAGGAAATCATATAAATTCTTTCATATTCTTAAACTTCTAGTAATAACAATTTATCCTAAAATGATATGCTCCATGAGAAGGCTACAGATTTTGCATTATGTTCACAAGGGAGCCCAAGTTCACTCAATCCTTTTATTCACTAGAAGACCCTCTGAGGTAATGTATCATGTGTCATGCTTACATATGTAGTATAATCTTATTGGTTGTTTCATTAGAGTATCACCCGGTTGTACTTAGGTGATGGAGTTTCATCAAAAGCTAGTCACATTGAGAACTGTTGGTGTTGAAACAGAGGACAAAATTGTCGTGCTGTCATGAGGAAGACTAGAAGAGCACTGTATCAATAAGGAATCCTATATTATTTGCTGTCTCATTGAGTTTTACTTTTTCTTTATAAATTTCAAGTAGACGGACGTGGGGTATCTACTCCTGAGCTCAAATGCACCTTGATGAACAGTAAAATAGCAAAAAGAGTAAAAAAATAAAAAATTCTGAATTTGTTTTGTGGTAAACTTAACTGTTTTGTATGCTTGCAAAATTTCAGCACGAAATGACATTGGTAACTCGTGGCAAAAGAACAAAATCGATGCTCCAGAAATGCTAGTTTTGAACACATTTTGGAGTACTGATTTTGTATTTTTTTTCCATGACTTCCACGAATGTCATTTCGTGCTGAAATTTGGTTAGCATACAAAATATTTGCCAAAGTTTATCAAAAAAAATCAGATTTGTTCAAATATTTTTACCTTTTACTGTTCATCAGGGTGCATTTGATCTCGGGATCAGAACATGACTTTTAACACCTTCTATTCTAATTGCATTGGGCTGTATAAATTAATGTGGCACATATGTAGGTGAATATCTTCGAATCATGCGGCCTGGACCTATGCTCCAGCTGGACCATAACTCAGAACAACCTCTGTCCGAAGAGAGTTAACGAATTTTACAGTCATGTAGACGCACAGGGCCAACTCCAAGATTCCATGCAGGGCGTGATAGACCTCGTGGATCGGGTAGGTCAGATCGATCCGGTAGTCCTACCTTTACCTAGTGTAGAAGAGCTTGTTCCAGCGCCGTCCATGGTGAAGTAGGGGCCAGAGATGGCGGCGGTGGTGTGCTTCCCGTGAGCACCGCGCTAACCCTAGATCGGTAGGGATTGTAGGTGGGAATTATGGCAGCGATTAACCTCGTGGGTCGTGCCCCGGCCCCTGATACGTCTCTGTCGTATCTACTTTTCCAAATACTTTTGCCCTTGTTTTGGACTCTAACTTATATGATTTGAATGAAACTAACCCGGACTGACGCTGTTTTCAGCATAATTGCCATGATGTTGTTTTACGTGCAGAAAACAAAAGTTCTCGGAATGACCTGAAACTCCACGGAATATCTTACAATAAATAATAAAAAATCCTTGCCAAATATGAAGACCAGGGGGCCCACACCCTTTCCACGAGGGTGGGGGGCGCCCCCCCTAGGGCGCGCCCCCTACCTCGTGGGCCCCCTGGAGACCTCCCGACTCCAACTCCAACTCTATATATTTGCTTTCGGGGAGAAAAAAAATAAAAGAGAAGATTTCATCGCGTTTTACGATACGGAGCCACCGCCAAGCCCTAAAACCTCTCGGGAGGGCTGATCCGGAGTCCATTCGGGGCTCTGGAGAGGGGGATTCGTCGCCGTCGTCATCATCAACCATCCTCCATCACCAATTTCATGATGCTCACCGCCGTGCGTGAGTAATTCCATCGTAGGCTTGCTGGACGGTGATGGGTTGGATGAGATTTATCATGTAATCGAGTTAGTTTTGTTAGGGTTTGATCCCTAGTATCCAGTATGTTCTAAGATTGATGTTGCTATGACTTTGCTATGCTTAATGCTTGTCACTAGGGCCCGAGTGCCATGATTTCAGATCTGAACCTATTATGTTTTCATCAATATATGAGAGTTCTTGATCCTATCTTGCAAGTCTATAGTCACCTATTATGTGTTATGATCCGTTAACCCCGAAGTGACAATAATCGGGATACTTACCGATGATGATCGTAGTTTGAGGAGTTCATGTATTCACTATGTGCTAATGCTTTGTTCTGGTTCTCTATTAAAAGGAGGCCTTAATATCCCTTAGTTTCCATTAGGACCCCGCTGCCACGGGAGGGTAGGACTAAAGATGTCATGCAAGTTCTTTTCCATAAGCACGTATGACTATATTCGGAATACATGCCTACATTACATTGACGAATTGGAGCTAGTTCTGTGTCACCCTATGTTATGACTGTTACATGATGAACCACATCCGGCATAATTATCCATCATTGATCCAATGCCTACGAGCT